TTTAAATGAATAAAAGGATTAAAAACGCAAAGAGTAAAACACTAGAAAAATGACCAAGAAAATTAAAAACTAAAAAAAAAGAATTATATCTTAATAAAGCTGTTATAAGGTGAATAGATAATTTTCAAAGAGAGAAAGAAAATAAAAACTCTTTGGAAAGACCTTTGAGGAACTCAATTATGTGTTCCATATAGATACTAATGTTTTCATTGTAGATGAGAGACATGAGTTCAGGTTTACTTCTCCGTGAAAAGTTTTTCTGCATTATCTTATAGATCTCCAGAAAGGGGGCTGGGGGTGGAGATTTAGAGAATAATTTTTAATTACACAAGCAAAAAAACCCCTCAAACATATACATATTTTTAATAATTTTGATTGTAGATTTTTCATAAAACAACTCTAATAAATCTACCATGGAATCTATAGTAAGTGTGCTAAATATGAAGGAGATTTCCTTCCTTGGAACAAAAATTTACCTAGAGTACAAGTAAAAATAAGGTATCCAGATGAGTCACCAACACAGATATACCTGTACTTGAATCCTGTAGCAAGGGTGCAGCTGTAGTGCCAAGATTGTGTATGAGATTTCCAAGTTCTTGTAATGCACATACCAGCATATGCTGGCTAGCTGCTACATCTGTGGAACCAAGCCGGGCTTCCAAATTACCATCACTCATTATAGCATCTGATGGAAACAAAAGAATTAACTATGTATCGTTATTTTATTAAAATATAGTGTAGGGGGTGGGTGTTAGGAGCAAAAAAAATAAAGGCAAAAATTAATACAAACATTTGATCTACATGAAACAGTTGAGGTAATAACTGAAATGTTCAAATGGGGACTTGTATCGATACAGAAAGAATTAAACTAATGTAACCAATTTAGTTCAAGCAACCCAATCAGAGTCCTCTTACTACTCTTTCATCAAGTGGCACTGAAAGGGAGAACTGATGGGAAACTAAAAAATATTCCAATATTACTGATAAGATAAGCAGAGTAGACTTAAGACAACAGAAGAACTGAGAAAGACTAATTGTTTCAAAAATAATTTATCCTAGCTTCTACAGAAGTGCAACATGAATTCTCAGGAACTACTATAATCAGCTTTCAAGGTTTTTGTACTAATATAGTAATGTATCAGCCTAGCTTTTCCAATGGGACAATTCCTTTAGCACTGTTAAAACAAACTGTCTTAGTAAATCCATACCCACAATTTTCTTTAGCTTCCAGATGGCCTGACAAATATCCTTTACAGCAGCAATTTGAGCCTTTTCTCCAAGAAGGCCTCCTATAGTAGCTCGAAGAATAAATGAAACACAACGTCGACAGCAGACAGCATCAATCTGAGTTTGGGTGCCCTTAAGGTGTGACTGTGACACAAGGCTTAGGATATGAGAAAGAAAGGCAGCAAAATTTTTCTCTAGCCAAGCTCCTCCTAGTGTTGAAACAAATACCACATAAGCCTAAAAAAGAAAGGAGTTTATTTCCAAAATTAAATCATTTCAATTTTATTTTCCTTTCTACAAAAAATGCAGAATTTACTCATATTTCTTTTTTATTCCCTACAAATTATATGCTTTCCTTATTTACAGCCACTTGAAGTATATAAATGTAGCACTATTTTTTTGTTTGTTTGTTTAAAGCCAAACTGAAGTGCATAGCCTTTCAATTGAGACTTCGTTTATGATGCCTCTGTTTTATTTTGGTCAGAAGTTTCAGGATAGTCAGCATAGCCAGCTAGTATGTAAAATGTGTCTGTAGCTTCTCTGAACAAAAGTTTCGAGAGATTTAAAATTCTGAAGAAGAAAACCCTATTCAAACAAATAAACACATTATAAGAATTAACTATGCTCCATACATTATAACTCTAAGGGAATCTGTTTCAGAAACCTGACAGTTAAGTTTACAGTGATGAATTACTGTTCTTTATTATCATGAACATTAACAGTCTGTCTTACTCCAGAGATATAAAGACAAGTAGATTTCTTAAGTAATCTGTTTCTTAGAAACACATAATTTAATTACAGTTATGCTGGGAAGCGTACATTTTCATTAAGACTATATACAGTATAAAACAATGAGGATATATATGAATTTAAAAAAAATACAAGTTTGCTTTGAACCGTGATAGCATTTCGAAAAAAAGATAATTCAAGGAAACAACAGAGACCTCTGTGTTACCTAATAGCTTAAATTTGAACCGTATGAGCACACATAAACACAATGGAAAACATATTAAACCAAAAAACGCATAAAGCACAAGAGCTAGAAACAAAAATATTTTTGTTTCAAAGGAAATAAAAATCTTACGTTATTAGGAACTTAAAACATATCATGGGTAATAAGGTTTTCTTACTTGTAGCCTAGTTTTAAAAAAAGTTTTGGCCTTATCATTTACATCTATGTATAAATATGAGAGCGTAAGTGGTGACCTTGCATAATATCACTTCTGTGGAGTCAGATACTAAAACTTTCATTATAGGCCAGTGAGAATTACATTTAGATACTCATTTGTGATTCCAACCTGAGTAACTCCAACTCGAACATCCCTACTGACTGAACTGGTTCCTTTCAGCATATCTCCACTGGCCCGAAGAAATCCTGAACTCCCACGTAGAAACCCTGTTCCTAGTAATTCCAGAACTTCCTCCAGAGATACTCTGCGAATGTTTTGACGTGAGGCTGCTATGACAAAGAACAAAACAAAACTGTGATTTATATTTAGTACACTAAATTTTAATGCATGATCTTGATTTGCAAAAAGCCAGTATGATAATAGAAACAAAAATAAATATTCAAACAAAATGCAAACTTTACAGGACATTCTACACATTTACACAAGAGTAAGTCACACGAAGGCTGAGCTCAAATCAGAATGAACCCTGAAGTACCATGTCAAGGACATCTTAAGTTCTACGCTGTATTAAGATCATGCTCTATTGCTCCCTTTCCTCAAACAAAAAAGTTAAAAGGCTAACAGTCTTCTAAAACAAAAGAAAACATAAATAAGACTGCCCTAGTTCTCCCTAAATGAAAATGCTACACAATGCTTTGAAAATTCTTTTGAAATACTAAAAATGCCAAAAATCATGATTTTCTTTTAGCAAATGCTCTATAACTCCTAATGAAATTTACATTAAGTAACCACCATGTCCTATTTTTTAAAATTCTCTACTGGCAATACAACTTTTGCTATTCTCTTAGTCTCTGAAGAAATTAAAGCTAAATATTGTATCATTAAAACTACTCAGTTGGCCCTTAGGCTACAATAATTAAGAGATTAGTTAGGGGAGGAATGTTTAAGGTTGCCTTCAGTTTAACACAGCCTGAGTTTTTCCCTGTAACCACCTAGGAAATAATATCTCCTTTGAAAACAAAGAACTAATTTCTCCCTTTCGTTTTTCTTCTGAAAATTAATGGTCATAAGCTCTGACCCTGTTATAGACTGAAATCATACAGTGGTGCAGAAATAAGCTTTTGTTGAAATTACTACTCCCTAGCCTAAAGAAAAGAAAACCATCTGAAACAAATAAAAATCTATCTTGCATTTGGGAAAGAAACATTATTGAATAGTACAAAATCCATGCCCTTGTGGTTAATAAATTCTAGGAAGAACAGAGAACAATAAATATAATAAATTACTAAGTACATATATAGTACTTTAAACACCGATTTAAAACCATGCAGAAATAGAGTAAATGAGGTCAGGGATACCAGGGGTAGGGGAAAGTGCTGTGATTTTAAATAGGGTTACTGGGGTAGCATTCACTGAAAGGGTGACATTTGAACAGAGTTTGAGTGTAGTGAAGGAAAAAGGCACGAGGATATCTGGAGAAAAAGTGTTCTAGGCAGAGGAAACAGCTATGGCAAAAAGGCCTCGGTATGATACTCAGGTGAATTCAAGCTGAGCAGTGGAGGGGTCTGTAGGAGACAGGTCAGAGCATAAGGAAGGGCAGATGGTAGAAGACATAGGACCCTGTAGACCATTATAATAATGATGTGACTGAAATGAGGTACCAGTGGAAGACCTTGAGTAGAGGAGGGATATAATCCATCATGTTGCTGGTGTGTGGAGAGTAGACTGTAGAAGGGGGCAAAGGTAGGACGAGGCCCATTAGGAGTGATTTATTAATTCAAGCAAGATATGATGGTGGCTCGGATCAAGGTAGCTGCAGTGAAGTGGGGTGCGTGGAGTCTGGATATGCATATATATATTTATTTTTTAGAGACAGGGTCCTACTTTGTCACCCAGGCTGGAGTGCAGTGGCACAATCATAGTTCACCACAGCCTCAAACTCCTGGGCTCAAGTGATCCTCTCACCTCAGCCTCCTGAGTAACTGGGACTAAAGGTATGCGACACCACACCCGGCTAATTTTTAAAACCTTTTGTGTAGAGACAGGGTCTTGCTATGTTGCCCAAGCTGGTCTCAAACTCCTGGTCTCAAGAGATCCTTTCACCTCGGCCTCCCAAAGTGAGGATTACAGGCATGAGCCACCTCACCTGGCCATATAAAACTTTTTATTAGAAAAAAACTCAAAATTACAAAAACCTGTAAGAATAGCATAATAAACTCCCATATACAGTCATGTGCTGCATAATAACTTTTCATTCAAAGACAGGCCACATATATTATGGTGGTGCCATACATATAAAGGAGCTAAAAAATTCCTATTGCCCAGTGACGTCGAAACTTAATCATTACTCATGTGTTTGTGATGATGTTGGTGTAAACAAACCTACTGTGCTGCTAGTCATATAAAAGGATAGTACATACAATCATGTACAGTACATAATACTTGATAATGATAATAAATGACTATGTTACCGGCTTATGTATTTACTATACCAGACTTAGTATTGTTATTTTACAGTGTACTCCTTCTTCTTATAAAAAGTTAACTGTAAGGCCGGGCGCGGTGGCTCATGCCTGTAATCCTAGCTCTCTGGGAGGCCGAGGC